GTAAACGGCAGGATAAATGCCTTCCAACCTGTGGTCTGTACTCCTTCTCTTCATCCAACACAACAGGCATTGAAACAATGAGAAATAAAATATAGAAGAGTAAAAATAACAGTAAAAGATGGAGAAGGCGGCTGTGAGAGCGCCGTCTCCACCCAGACGGAAAAGGTGTCACACGAAGGACTTTCAACTCGCCTTGTTAACACGCAAAAACCTTTTTGAGTCAGTGTGATATTTGAGGCGTGAAGGGTTGAAGATTGTCCTTGAAACGCCGACGAAAGGATAAAGATTGGAAACGACTGAAAGAAACAGAAAATAATATATAAATCTGATGTGCAGTGGTTCCTGTCAAGTAGGCAAATGTTCTGCCAGCAGACTAACACACTCAAATCAAACCTGGAACAGTCAAAATGGATCCTCACATGAAGATGCTGGTGTGTACAGCACCAGTCAAACGTTTGGACACATTTAGTTGTTCAATTGAATGAGAAAGTGTGAAATACTCAATCTGAAATATAAATGATTGATTTAAAAAACTCTAATCAAGAAAGCCGCTGACAGTGGCTGGAACATGTTGGTGGTTGCTGAGTTTCTTCCATCTCAACATCTACCCTGTGCAGCACACGGTCTGCAGAGGACCACCACCACTTTTAATTGCGATGGATGAATTTAATAATTTAATAAATGAATAAAGCCCTGTTTTTTTCCATTAAGAAGTAATAATCGAATATACTTGACGTCATGGCGATATGCAACTGATGTCCTTACGTTCCAGCTACATTCTGGTAGTTTTTTTAATGTATCCCGTTTGATAAAAGTCAGTTCCTCTGACAGACACGCCTGATAAATAAATAATGCGTTAATCTCACATTTTTTATTCCATCAAGTCTTTGTTTGTTTAAATTGTGTAGTATGTTGGCACATGTACCTTTGGGATTGTGCTTTTGCCTGTAAACAGAATGGGGTTCGAATTAGGAAGCTGCTCGGAAAGTAGCGATTACAAAACAAAGTCAACTGCATTTGTGATTTTATCTACATAACAAATGATGACAGGAACGTTTCTGACTGATCCTAATTTATTAGTAATATACAATAGGCTGAAATTGTATTTGTAATTTTAACATTAAAACACAGCCGTTGATGTTTCTTTAAGGGGACAATGTGCAGATAAATGTTCAAAAGAATAAACAAGTAAAACTCATTCAAATATTGTCAAATATTGTCAAACAATTTCAACCACTGACTTCCCGTGTGATCCCTAACAAATCTGCCCCCTCTGTACCCTCCAACTAGCTCTGCTCACGTCAGTCCGAGCTGCCGCAGCAACGCTGAAGTTTAAGCATTCTAGGGGAGTGCAGACACACTCCAAAACTTCTTAATGGGCAGGCTAAAAATAGCTCAGGCTGGATATGACTGAGCGGATTCATGCGGCTGTGAGTCATTCAACTGTGCCGCTGTGTGAAAAAGCAAGGGAATACAGTGAATGAGAACAAAGGGGAAAAGAAGCAGAAACAGGAATAGAATAAAAGTTTGCACCCTTGTTAAGAGATCAAACCATTGAGAGAACCAAGCAATGCTTATCCCATCATGTGCATTGTTATGCATTATGAGTGCGTGTGGGTAGAGGTCCTTAAAGACATTTGATGCTGTAGGGCGGCCTGAGAAAAATGAAGGATGGAAACTGGGGCTGGTGAAGTAGCATTGCTGCTGAATTTGTCTCTTTATTTGGCTGTAGAAGGCCCACTTTTTGGGCCCCAATTTTTAAAAGGCCGGGGGGGGGGGGGGGGGGGGGTGTTGGTCCTTGGCTTGAGGGCAGTAAGATCCCAATAGATTGAAGCTATTGTGGTCCCCCAGCAAATTGGTGGTATCATTAGAATAAGAAAGAGCAGTTTACACTCACATCGTTACTCCCTCCATTACCACGGGTAAACAATTTACAATTAACCCCCACCCCATGCGTTTTCCGCATGAGGTGTGACGACACACAGGCACATTTTAAACAGATTGGTTTCTTTTTGTTAAACCCTACAATGATTTATAATTACACACCTATGTAACACAAACACAGATCAGCTATTATTCCACAGCCAGCAGCGTTTCACCGCCGCATCACTCATTTCACTCTTAATGAATTCAATTCAATAGCTTTTCGCCCTCATTTTCCACGCCGGTAGCTCTCGCCGTCCCCTTTTATTATTTTTCCCTTTTACTTCTAGCCTTTGACTTTTTCTTCCCTGCCTGCGTCCCTCCCATCACCGGTTGCAGGTGAACTGTTGACTGCAGGTGGCCGTGGCCTTGCTGGGAGAGAGAGAGAGAGAGCAGAGCAGCGCGGTGACAGATACGAGCCAGCGGCGCTTTAAATTGTACCTCTCTCACATGGTCATCTGCTTCCTTTCTCTTTCGCTCTGCTTTGCTGTCCGTCTCTCTTGCCGGCTTCCCATACTCTCTCTCGCTCTCCCAAATTGAAAAAGCTTTTTCCATCATCTCATTTTTTTTTGTGTCCACCACCCGCCCCCCATCTCCATCCCTTTTAAACTTGGCAGAGAGGAGTGAAAAGAGACGGAAGCAGAGATGGATGAAGAAATACAGCCCCTTTAGTGTCGTGTCTCATGGTTGATGTACAGTGGCAGAGAGAGGAAGAGGGAGAATGAGAAAAAGAGAGAGGTAGTATTAGGGTTACTTAATTGTAGGCAGCGCTGTCTTTCCTGCTTCACTAGGCTGAAACATAGTGCCCTAACTGTCAGTGACGCCTCAATTGCCTTCAGATAAATAAAAAAAAACTGTGTGTGTGTTTTAGTCTGCCCAAGTGTGTGCTATTCTGAAGTCGCATCGCTGTTTATAAATCTAGTGACAATGTTAGGACTTAATCTGAAATGCCCCAGTAACTCAGAAATTAGCATGTTATTAAATTAAATGGGAAATCTATTGTTCTGCATTATATACTTTAATTTTGATCATTACACACAATTATAATCTAATTCCCTTTCTCCGCAAGTAACTTTTCTAGACCTTGGGCTGAATGGAAAACAGTCTGACTATAAATACCTTCTAGGCCTTCTAGCGTTGTGAAAAATGTGTTGCTATGACGTGAAGGTGTGTGGGGAAGAGGTCTATAGGACCAGTAGGCACCATGTGCTGCTTGTGGCCACAATACCAAAGATGCCCAGCACAGTTTCTGGAGAATCTGGAGGTTCATAGTGTCAGTGAAGTGAAGTTTGTGAGAAACAGCATATGTGGAGGGAGTTTAGTAGTGAATTTTTAAATGGAGATTTTAGCAAAACAGCGATGCAAAGCATTTAATCAACGAAGGAACCCCTTGTGTAAATGTGATTAGTGTTTTTGATGGAGAACCACTGGCCTTTTGAATTTACAGTAAGAAAAACTCCGCTGTTTAACATCAAAGAGAACAACAAAATGCATAGAGTTATCTATGGAGACAGGGAAGGCCCAAGACGATTTGAATCCATGAGTAATACGCAGCATGGGGGGTTTCAGGGTTTATGAATGAGTGAGGTTTGTCCCCCTCCCGTCCTTTCCTTGTTCTTTTTCTCCTTGCAACAACACGCTCTGCCATTCACGCTTTGCTGTCTTTTAGAATGTGCCCCGCCATCCGTCTCAATCGCCATCCAGCCCATTCTTACCCACCTCCCCCCTATATTTTCCTCACGATGCATTTAAATGGGGTATTTAGAGATCAGGCCTTTTTCATCTCCTCACACATACTCTAAAGGTAACTGCAAAAACCCTAGATGAGCCTTTGAAAAAGGGAAAATACCCCTTCAAGTGCTTCAAAACTAGACCCCAGTAGATGCATAATAAAAAAACAAGATATTGGGAGATATGTTTAAACTTTTCCTTGGCCCATTTCCAATATTTGTACTTGCTGTACCAACTCTCTTCAAACAGTCACCAGATGTTTTTTTACGATGCTGCACATGTTGTTACCACTGAAACGACAGCAACCGAAATGTGCCATCTGCTAATTAAATGACTGAATGGGAAACATTCATCTGATGTGCCTGCAGTTTTTTTTTTTTTACAAAGAATTCTATTCAAATCTATCAGATTTGGACGGATGACAGATTTGACATGACGGTCAGCATATATTTCCAAAAAATTGATTAAAAAGTGTTAAAGCCTTTAAACAGATTGAAACTATTCCATCAATGATTGAGAGATCCTGTTTTGATGGATTAACACTCCAGGTGGATTTAAGAATGCTATTTTGTTTCTAACCATGGATTAATCAGTTAAACAAGGTTAAATATAAACGAGAAGACTCTTTTGCTGTTTTAAACTGTTCCTTGTGTGCGCTGTTGTATGAGATACTGCTTTTCACACCTGATTCTGTATTATGCCACACATTTTGAATCGCAAAATCTTACCTTTTATGATACTAAAAACACTACTAAGAAACTTGAAAGCACTGTAAATATAATTTTTGTTTTTTTAAATGAAGACAATATATGTCAGTACAATATAAGTTGTTGGTAACAATTTACTGTTTGCTGTTGCATTTCCCTAGAAAAAGGAAACTAGTCAGCACTTTTTAGAATTTGATTTGCATACAGGTCGAATAGATCAACACCATCACCTGCTCCTTTGACCTGAGAAACACATCCAAGGCACTGGAGCCCCTCAGGCCTGCGGGCTCAGACCACGTTTGTGTTACGTGTTCATGCACACTGGTGTGGCTACGCACACGTACAACACCATAACACCGTTTGCGTCTTTTGTTGCTAAAAGAATTCTTCATTTTCTAGATATGGGTACGGGTAATAACAAACTGAAACAATTGACACATAAATATTAATGTAAAATATTTTGAATGCCATCTTATTTGTTTGTTTGATCACAAATAAGACAAATTAGCGGATGTTGCATAAGGATTTACTTTGCTTTTCAGAACCACGGACAGAGCAACTCGCTGCAGCAGGATGAAAACACATCGCAGTGTGGCATTGGGTTGAATGTGTGTGTTTGCCTGCTTGTGGACATCTTACCTAGCCGGGGGTCATACTGCCTCATCTGAACTTCTTCCACATAGTCTGCTGGAAACCAGCCTGTCCTCCCTTTGACCGTGCCTTCCCAGAAGCCACCTTCCCCTATACTCAGAACTGAAAAGAGAAGACACAGGAGAGTCTGTCAAATATTGTCATTAATCATATCCAGTTGTTATCATTGTGATGTTGTGCAGCCTGTAGAGCCTGATAAAACAAGACATTAAAAAAATACACAAGCCAGAGAAATGTGGACTTTTTTTCTCTTTCATGCCAATAAATTATTTTTAAATTACAAAATAAAGACGAAAAAAAGGACAAGATGCAGCAAATGAAGCAGTGGCGAGGAAAGACAAAAGTGAGACAAATAAAGAAATGAAGTGAGGAATAAGCAATGTTGAAGGAAAGCAAGAAGGCGGGGAAGAAAATGAATGAGATTATTTCCGCTCGGGTAATTAGAGGTGAATATTTAGTTGATATTGATCTTCCCTGCAGGATTGAGCCAGGACGCACTCATCCATTATCCCAGGAAGCTGACCGACACACACACACACACACACACACACACACACACACACACACACACACACACACACACACACACACACACACACACACACACACACACACACATACTCCTCAGAGATCACCAGCTGGAACAGAAGTTTTGCCTGAGCGAGTCCTTCTTCTAAACTGGTTGCTAGGTTACGGCAGTATGATGCAGTAGACAACCTGCTAAATGATGTAGTCTACTTCCTCCAAACAATATATTCTTCTCTGGCATGGCGACATGTCACGGTGATGCAAACTGGGGCACATTGAGAAAGAAGAATCGAGGAATTGACGTCACATCTTACGTCCCAATTTAATTCTACATGCAGATCAAAGACACATATTTAGTACCAGGCCAGAAAAGGTGACTATACCTCACGGTGTTAAAATCAATGCATGCTCTCTTCAGATTTCATGTGCGTGCAGGCTCATTGTGTCCTTCATTTTAATTCCGTAATGCAGATGTACACAAAGCTAACCCCTTCACAGCTCGTCTCCGCCTGCCTAAACATACATTTGCTAAGAGAGAAGTGCAAGAGCAGACAAATAATGTTCGACTTTCTGCTGCAGAAACATGACACTGAGCACCCAGAGGATACGAGGACTGATCCCCCTCTCTGATCACTGCTTAACACAACTTCACCCTGACTGTCTCCAGAGAACAGCCTCCCTCTGTCTCTTTAATTCCATGTTCAAACCCTTTACACCCTCTGTCTGGCTCTCTAGTCTATTCCACTTTCTCTGCATCACTGTGCTTCCAGGGGATTTCTCGGTCATTGTTGCAATCCCCCTCTTTGTCTCTGTCAGGTTGTCTGTCTATACTGTAATGGTCTACCTGCAGTGGACAGGTGCCGCCTGTGCACTCTGTTCTCCATTGACAGAAATGAAATAAAAGGTGAGACCGTTGATCGATCTTCCTGCCTTCGCTTACTTCCCTCCGTACCTTAAACTCCCAGCACAAATCCATTTCTAGTCCCCGAAAATTGACACCAACATCTGGGAATGCGGAAACAGTCGACCACTGAGTATCTAAAAATGCAAGCAGAAGTCACAGATCCAAAATATCCATGTGCAACGTCCAAATCATAGGCTGCTCTTCCACACATTCAGCACATATTACATTCATATAAAGTACCCTTCAATCACCTTTAAACACATCACCAACACTCTAAATGCAGAAATGAAGCAGATTAACTGATCCTTAGTAAAGAGAGGAACAGTTCAGGAAACACAGTATTTTAATACAATACACATGATTGATAATGCTCTCAGCATTCAATTGTGCAGAGTCTGCAGTAACACACAGAGAAACACTGTAAACCAAATTTCACTTCAACAACTAGGATTATATTATTACATTAAAGGGCTGTTAGTGTAAAATATAAATAAAGTTGGAATATAGTTTGAATTTAAATGTACATTTATATTTGATTCATATCTATCACTAACAACAACTACATGCATGTATTTGTATGCCCAAGTGGCAATACAGCGTGCACGTATAGTATGTTTTTGCCCTGAAATGTACTGTAGAGTTCCTTGCTGTGTCAGTAGCCTCTAACTTCCTACCAACGATGCGTTGGCATGACAACTAGGCTCACAGGAGCCAAGTGGCAGGACGGACTTTAAACAGTGCATTGTCTGTGCAGGGAGATTTACAATATGTCTGCTGCGTTGGACACAACTAGCCCGCTTTGGGAATGTGGATATTTGGATAACTGCAGATTGTAGATGGTAGTGGGACAAAGACTGCTTTAGTAAATTATGATATCCAACAACGAACTGTGCAAACATCAAAAGGCCGTCAGTGCGGAGCTTTGGGGATATTACAACGCAATTTTTGAAAAGAAAAGGCAGTGGTTTCTAAGTGGCAGCAGTCTGCAACCATTGTTGACTTCAAACCACTAAATGCGCTCGTTCATGGAAGAAGGTCCAATATACAAAATAGACATTTGGCTGTTACCTCTTCAGATACGGATTTGATGGGGTTGACGTTTTGCTGACAGCGATATTTTCCATTTTAACATTTGCATTGTAACAGTCCCCATTCAAACATTGTCAGTGTAGTTTTCTGTGATTCAAGACTGTGCCGGTAGCACTGTGACAGGGCTGGTTGGCACAAAAGACTTTGTGGTTGTGGAAGATGTGATTTCGTAGGCAAAATAGGCATTTTTGTGTGTGCTTAGTTAAAAGAAATAACAAAGCTGTGGAATTTTGATGCAAAGATCAAGCTACAGATCGTATCTGATACGGTCATTTTAATTTTTGACTTCATTTTGATCCTGGATAAAATATAGAATGCAATTTTATCTCTTTTAGAGAGACTATAGGCGATTTCTTCTGTACCGATAATTACATTTAACAAAGGTATTAGTGAAATTCAAAATAAATACTCTTTTATAGAGTAGGTCGGATTTAGCTTCATGCAAACACCGGTGACTTTGTTTAACAAGAGTTTCTTCTCTCCAAAACACTAAATTCCACTTGTTCTACTGTGGAGGTCTATTGCCGCTTCAGTTCATAACAAAGGTCCATCAACACCTCAGCCGGACAAAATCAGGCCTAATCTCGACAGCGTCACCAGACGCAGTGGGCTGCCACACTGATTCATAATTATCTCCACAGGTAAACTAGTGGCTGCAAACACAAAAACAACAGCATATGGTGACATTTATTCGCAGTAAAACGTGAACACACATCCATCATTAATGAAAACTTATGAGTTTAGGTATATATATTTTTTTAAAGTAAAAAAAAAAGAAATAATGTTGTTTGCCGTAATAGAGCCCAAGAGAATGAAACACATGGGATGAATGTGACATAATAGGGATCAATGACAAAGAGACAAGAACTATTCATGACTGTGCAAAAAGTCTGCAACAGTAGTGCTCTTTGTCTGCGCGTGTGTGTGCATGTGTGTGTCTGCGCATGTGTGTGTGTGTGTGTGGCTCTGAGTGCACGTAACTTCGGAGTAGTTTTGCTCTTGGTTAAGTCAGTCAGGGCTCTGGCTCAAACATAGCATCAGTAAAGGAAGCAAGCTATTTATACTCCTCACATACCCTGCCTCCAAGCTTCAATGCACCCCTCCTCGAGTGTGTGTGTGTGTGTGTGTGTGTGTGTGTGTATGAGAGTGTGTGTTCGCGGTGACAAATTGAGCTAATTTTATTTCTTGCTTTGCTCTATGGCTTTGAGCCGAGTCATTCATTTTCTTCCTCATTCCCATCTTTTCTTTGTTTCTCTTTTTCCAAGCAACAAACTCACGGATTTACACATGAATGTACTCATACGCGTGCAATGTACTCATACAAGTGACAGCTGGTAAAGGAAGCAGCAGTCGAAACACAAATGAAATGCAGTTCTCACAGGTTACAGTGGATGCATCAAACTCCCGTATTAGCCTGCAGAAACAGACTAAAAAAAGATGCAGCTGTGCTGATAGAGGCTGATGGCTTTCTGCCACTGATGCACTCAAACTGATTCAGACAGGGATGCCACCGTATAATTGCCAAAGCCAAAATACAACTTGATTTCCATAAAATGCTACGATGGGCTCTCTGCCTGTTGGACTCGCTATAAGAAACACAGGGAACATGTGCGTCTTTGACATCATAATTCACATATCAAATAGAAATATTGCGATGTAGCAATATTAAAGGGTGAAAATAAGATGCTGTAGTGATAATTGATCCAATTGTGCTACTGGTTGATTCCTAACTGATGGGTGAAAGTAGATGTGCCACTTAAGGGTACGGTAGTGGAGTGCTGCCTCTTACATCGGTCTCTCTAACTGTTGAATATTATTAGTGTTCCTTTTAACTGCTCTACAAAAAATATAGTGTAACGCAATGATAGGCATTAAGTATTATAGTTTTTTGCTAAGAAAGGCTTTTCTGAATAAAAAGTAAGTATCTCAGCGTTCCCTTCTGTGTGTGTGTCTGTGTGCCTGCTTCACATGAAGTGTGTGCAGGTGAGAGTGGAAAACATTCCAATAACCTGAGTGGAGATGTTATTAGATTTGGATCCCTCCACTCTTTATTACACCTCAGTTCAATTCGGGTATAATAAGTAAAGGGAGCAGAGATGCATCTGTATGAAACAAGGGGGGCACCACCAGAGACACGCTGGCATGCGCCCGCACACGTACTCTGCAAGGAAGCGAAAGGGGGATGACTGTACAGTAGTGCAAGGGACGGTCACTGTTATCTGTAGTATATGAGTGAGAGAATGCACGCTAATGCTCTGGGGGGGGCTAGAACGGAGAACATATGGAATCATAGAGATTTAATTTACATAGTCAACAAGTTATACGATACAAGAAAAGATTGGATTACTTTGTAAGGTAATCCAATTTCATATCAAAGAAGGAGGTTGACTTGAAATACACGACTGTCTGAAGTAGAGAGCCAAGAGGGAGAACGTGAGCTGTGGTTTCCTGCATGTTGATCCTCATTGGATGTATGTTACTTAGAAGAGGGGAAGGGAGTGGACTGGTCTTCGCCTCATCATTATTCAACTGATAGAGAGTCATAGGGGGATGGAGAGAGAGAGAGAGAGAGAGGACTGAG